GCCTCAGATCAATTATAAGAATATTACCTATATTAAATTGATCTTGAATCTATGATAATAACTTAGCTTTACAATTTCGGTAAAAAAAAACAACCTTTGTTCTATTTAATAAATAAAAATATTTATCCTTTAGTTGCTTTTAATGATATTTTATACTTAAATTTTTACTATTCTTACTGCTAGCCTTTTTCTTTAAGCTAAAAAAAGTTAATTTATAGTTAAACTTATTTAGTTATCCCTATGCAAGCATATGCGTTTATTAATTACTAAAAAACAGGTGATATATTTATATTTACTGATTCTTTAATTTATGTATATAGCTTTGATTTATCATCTTACAAATTGCTTAAATTTGGTGTATCTTATCCTTCGACTTTGAGTACTGTTACTGCTTTTAACGACAGATATATCTTTTATTATGATTAAAGTTATATCTATAGATTTGATATGGAGTTGAAATAAATTACTTACTTAAACGCTTAAACAGATAAAGATTTATATAAAAATTCATAAATTAATTTCTATTCATTAGATAATTAATTACTGTATGTTAAAAAGTCAACAAATTTGATAGAAACAAACAATATGGTCATTATTAATAGTTTTATTGACTATAGTAGATATATAGGAAGCATAACTACTGACGAAAATTAATAAATATAGATTTTTTAATCTTAAAACGGAGTTTTTTGGTACACAAATCTATTTAATAATCCATTCAGCATAATAAATATTTCTTAAAACTACTTAATTTAACAGAATTAGTTATAATAAAACTAAATTACTTTCTATGATGCTAGTAACAAACAGTTAGTAATATGTGATATTCTAAAATCTATTGAATAGACTATTTCAATAAATTTGGATATTTAATTTGATTTATAAATCTCCATTATTGATTGGGATTAACCTTCCTTTTTGTGGGTAAAAGGCCATTAAATCTTTTAATATAGTGTAAACTCTAATCCTCAAATAAAAACTATTTTTGATTTAGATTCTTAAATTGTTTTCTATTAATACTGTCCAAAGTAGAAAATTATGGTAGTCAAAACAGATTCACAAACAATTTATTATATTTCAGTAAAAATTTTTTTTATTTATCAAATTTAAATTAAAAAAATTATTAAATTAAAATAGATTCAAAATATGACTAGTGTTGAAATGGATAATTATAATATAGGTGAGCCAAATATTCTTTTGAATATTAACTGTGAAGAAGAAATAATACTAATTTATTGTCCATATGTTTAAATATTTGATTTAGCCACAGGTTTATCTTCAAATTCATTTGCCTATGTAATAATTTAATTAATAAAAAATAATTCTAATATATATAAAAACAAAATCAAATAACTTCTAATTTTTTCTTTATTTATATTTTTGAAATAAAAATTTGAAATTAAAAAAACTACTTTTCAAAAATATTTGGAATAACACTTATTTAAAAAAAATAATTTACTGTAATTTCTCATATATTAATACCAAGTCACTTAAGATCAAATTAAAGAGTAATTTGTGTAGTCAGTATTTAATTTGTTTGTCTATCTCTAGTTTAAAATGTTAAGATATACACAATTCACATTAATACGATATTATCAATTTATTAGAAAGAATCAATAAAATTAAATTTTATTGAGATTTGTCAAATTAGAAAAGTTTTGTTAAGACGACTACTATTTTTATTAATTCCCACTTTAGATAATTTGATTTTTTACTTTTATGTAAGGAAATTTTAATTGATCAAAAATATTTATTAAAATAATAAATATACTCTATAGAAATGGAATCAGTTAAAAATTTTTTTGAATTTTTTGAACTGAGAATAAATTAGTATTATTTCAATTAATTTAAAAATAATAAAATAACATTATTAAAAATAAAATTTTACTTATATTTATAAATAGGATAAAATGAGCTTAAATATGTTTATAACTTTAAATAAGTAATGTGTTGTTCCTTTAGTTAGTAAGAAAATAGGATTATTGGTAGTATTCTATACTTAATAATTTAATGGTTTTTTTTTAAAAGACTTTACATATAAAACCTATCTGTTTGAATATAGATATAATAACACTAATTTATATTATGATGAACAAAATAATATATTATTAGGAGTTACAGGTAAGCTTGCATAAGTTAATTTAATGAATATTCCTGGTATTTAATAACTGTTTATCTACTAATGTGTTAGTGAGTTTGAAAATAATGCAGTTTACTTTTATAAATAAGAAACAAGCCTCATTATAGCAGACAATACTCCTATTTTATATTTATTCAATTACCTAACTTAAAATACTACATAAATTAAAATATAAATCAGTAATATTTTAGGTATGCTGATGGATGAAAGCAAAAAAGTTATTTTTTTATACTCAAATTAATTTATTCAAATGTTTTAATTTCCTAGCATGTAATTCATTGAAACACTTTCATTATAAAACTATAACATTACATCAATTATACAGGTTTTTCTAAATACCTAATTAAATTTAATTATAGCTTAGACATCTACCCACATTATATCTTTCGACTTAACAGAGACTGTTTATGCAAGTGAAACTTATCTTCTATAATACTAAAAAAATTAAAATTTATATCTAGGTTAGCAGTTCTAAGTTGGTTATAATATTGTAAACTTTTCCTTAAATCTTTTCAAAAATACTTAATTAGTGGACACTTTATTGTTTGAACCTTCTTTATACAACATATTTCCATATCTTTCAGAGCTAATTTTGATAAAAGATAGCTTATTCATATATATTTAAATGGATAATTTAAATATCGTAAATGCAGATTTACAATAATAGTAACTAATTCTAATAAATAAAGTAAAATTAATCAACTTACCTGATAATTTTTTTTATGATTTAGCAAG